TCTCTCACATCGATGTTTCTCTCTCTCTCCCTCCCTCCCTGCCACTCTATCTGAAGATAAATGGAAAAATGTCCTCGGGTGAGGATAAAAAATAATAATAGTAATTTCACACTTACAGTAGAGTTGCAAAAATAGTATATCTCATTTGTCATTTCTTATTTTCTTACAGTGTTTTCTTGTATTTCATGACCTTGCTTTTTTCTGAGCTGATTATTCTGTAGAATGTCCTTCAGTTTGGGTTTGTTTGATGATTTCTCTTGATGACACTGAGGATATGCCTTACTGGAAAGGATACCACAGAAGTGGGGTGCCCTTCACAAGTACATACTAACAAGGGTGCTTGATGTCAAGGTTACTGGTTATGTTAACCTTGATCAATTGGCTCAGATGTCTGCTAGGATTCAGTACTATAAATTTACTGTTTTTCCCTTTGTAATTGCTAAATATTTTGGGAAAGTTGCTTTGAGACTATGCTTAAACTTTTATTCAGTAATTTTAGAATCCATTGATTTTTCTTGCCTGTGGCAGTTACTATTGTGGAATTCTAATGGTGATTTTTATATTTGTCTCATTCCTTCTATGATTATTAATTTGAATTATTTTGTTAGATATAGTTATCCCTTTTTTCCCCATTATAGATATGTTAGTTTTTTGTTTTGTTTTATCCTCACCCGAGGATATTTTTCCATTTTTTGTACAGATAGAGTGGGAGGGAGAGAGAGGAAGGGAGAGAGAGAGAGAGAGAGAGAGAGAAACATCGATGTGAAGAGACACATCGAGTGGCTGCTACCCGCACGACCAACCAGGGCCGGGGACAAACTGCAACCGAAGTACGTGCCCTTAGCGGGAACCGAACCCGGGTCTCTCCGGACCGCAGGCCGACGCTCTAACCGCTGAGCCAAACCGGCCAGGGCTGTTAGTCAGTTTTAATACAGTCATGCCTCACAAAACGATGTTTTTAGTCAACAATGGACAAAACATATGAAGGTTGTCCCATAAGGTTATAATGGGGCTGACAAATTCCTATCATCTAGTGATGTTGTAGCCATAGTAATGTCATAGTGCAGTGCATCACCCATGTGTTTGTGGATGCTGAAATAAACAAATCTAATGCTGCCAGTCTTATCAAAGTAGAGCACATACATTTATGTACAGTGCGTAATACTTGATAATGATAAATAATTGTTACTGGTTTATAATTTGCTTTACTATTCTTTTAATCATTATTTTAGAAAATATGCTTTCTACTTATAAAAAAGAAAACATGCCATGTTATGCTTCATAGGCCTCTGTAGCAACCTCATTCATCTTTTGTTTATTGCTTATCTTTTTTTTTTTTTATCCTCACCGGAGGACATTTTTCTATTCTTTGTTCAGATAGAGTGGGAGGGAAAGAGAGGAAGAGAGAGAGAGAGAGAAACATTGACGTGAAAGGGACACATTGAGTGGTCGCCACCCGCACGACTCAACCAGGGCCGGGGACAAACTGCAACCGAGTACATACCCTTACGGGGAACCGAACCCGGGTCTCTCCAGACCACAGGCCAACGCTCTAACCGCTGAGCCAAACCGGCTAGGGCTATTACTTGTCTTGATTGCATCACTTATCTTGTGCTTGATTTAATCTTGTGTTGTTTTGTTCTCCATGGCTCCTGAGCTTTTAGCACAATGACAAAATTGCTTAAAAATGCATTGCTCAGCCCTGGCTGGTTTTGCTCAGTGGTTAGCGCGTCGGCCCACGGACCAGAGTCATAGGTTTGATTCTGGTCAAGGGCACTTAACATCGTTTGCGGTTCGTCCCTGGCCCTGGTTGTGGTCGTGCGGGAGGCAACCAGTCGATTTGTCTCTCTCGTGGATGTTTCTCTCTCTCTTCCCCTTCCTCCCACTCTATCTGAAGATAAATAGAAAAATATCCTTGGGTGAGGATTTAAAAAAAAAAATGCATTGCTTAGAATGGATCCCTGTTGGGAAGCTTTCTTTGTTTGTTTATTTTGTTAAGATCTCTTTTGTTGAACTCTACAGATGTATTTTAATTTGAGGGGATGGGGAAGATGGGTAGTTTTGTAAGTTTAGGGATGAATAAAATCTGTACACTTAGTTCTCTTTTTGGTGCCTTATGTATTTTACTTTCTAAAGCAGCGATTTCCTATCGTGTGCCACAAGACTTTTTTTTTAACTATATCTTTTTTGTTCTTTTTTTTATTTCTTTTTTTTCTTTATTGTTGAATGTATTACAGATGTTCCTCATTTTTTCCCCATTGACCCCCTCCTCCCCATTTCCACCTCCCTCCTGCCTTTTCCCACACTGTTGTCTGTGTCCATTGGTTATGCATATAAGTTCTTTCTTCTCACCCCCCAACCCCCTTCTCTTTGAGGTTTGTCAGTCTAGCAACTAATTTGTTCTTAATCCCGTCACCTTTTTCACCCATTCCCCCAACCCCCTCCCATCTGGCAACCAACAGAATGTTCTCTGTATCTATGAAAATGTTTCTGTTCTGCCTGTTCATTTTGTTTATAGATTCTATTGCCGATAGATATGTATTCATTGCCATTGTGTTTGTTCATATATTTAATATTTTTCCTCAAAAAAACCTTCAACATTTCATATAATAACGGTTTGGTGGTGATGAACTCCTTTAACTTTTTCTTGTCTGGGCAAGTGTTTATATGGCCACTGATTCTAAATGACAGCTTTGCAGGATAGAGTAATCTTGGTTGTAAGTTCTTTCTTTTCATCACTTTAAATATTTCTTGCCACTCTCTTCTGGCCTGCAAAGTTTCTTTTGAGAAATCAGCTGACAGTCTTATGGGAACTCCCTTGTAGGTAACTAACTGCTTTTCTCTTGCTGCTTTTAAGATTCTCTCTTTGTCTTGAACCTTTTGCATTTTGATGATGATATGTCTTGGTGTGGCCCTCTTGGGACTTGTTTGGGACTCTCTGTGCTTCCTGGACTTGTATGTCTGCTTCCTTCACCAAGTTAGGAAAGTTTTCTGCCATTATTGTTTCAAATAGGTTTTTAACTTCTTGTTCTCTCTCTTCTCCTTCTGGCACCCCCAAGATGCGAATGTTGGCACGCTTGAAGTTGTCCCAGAGGCTCCTTACACTATCCTCACTTTTTTGGATTCTTTTTTCTTTTTGCTGTTCTGATTGGGCGTTTTTTGCTTCTTGTATTCCAAATCAATGGTTTGCTTCTTGGCTTTACCTACTCTACTATTGAATCTGTGTAAATTATTCTTTATTTCAGTTAATGCCTCCTTCATTTCTGACTGTGCATCCATCATTTCTGACTGGTCCTTTTTTATGCTCTTGAGGCCCTCACTAAGTTCGCTGAGGTTTTCTCTATGTTCATTGAGCATCATTATAAGCAGTATTTTGAACTCAGCATCTGTTAGGTTGCTTATCTCCATTTCACTTAGTTTTTTTCCTGGAGTTTTGTTCTGTTCTTTCATTTGGGACCGGTTTCTTTGTCTCCTCATTTTGGCTGCCGCCCTGTGTTTGTTTCTGTGTATTACTTAACGAGAGGTATGGGCTATCTGAGACCAGATGCTGCTTGTTTGAAAGAATTTAGGAAAACCTGAAGCAGGATTCAAGACAGATCAATCCTATGGTTAAGCAACTGGCAACAGCTTGGGTGGGCCTGAAAGTTGGGTGGGGCAGGGCCTCAGGGAATCACCAGGGTGGGGCAACCAGTGTGAGCTAAGTTGCTGGAGTCCCAGATATGGCGGCTGTCTGCCACCCCAGGGAAGGGCTCACCAAAGGAACAAAGGCCTCCTACAGCACATCTGTCCTGGAGAAGGCTACCTCTCCAGCCCTCGCTCCAATGCCAAACAGATCAGTTCTTCCCTGTATGTCTCTGGCGCCCCTCGAGCTGCCTCCCCTCCAAGCCTAGAGGGAGTAAGTCCGATTAAGTCTGTGCACTGGCCCTTTAAGAGGAGCTGTTTGGGGCTCCAGCTGCCTCAGCCTCCCTGAGCCTCAGTTCCTGCTGGTTTTTCCAGCCAGAAGTTATGGGGAGTTCTCTTCCTGGCACTGGAACCCTGAGCGGGATGCCTGGTGTGGGACAGGGACCCCTTAGTCCTCAGGGAGGACCTTCTCAGCCGAGGTGTCCTCCTGATTTTTATCCGCCACATATGGGTGTGGGACCAGCCCGCAGCCTCTGCCCCTCCTACCTGTCTCGATTCAGCTGCTTCTTTAATTCTGTAGTTGTAGGACTTCCATTCAGCTGGATTTCAGGCAGTTTTGAATGATGGTTGTTCTGTAGTTTAGTTGTAACTTTCATGTGGTTGTGGGAGGATGAAATACCGCGTTTACCTATGCCACTATCTTGACCGGACCCACAAGATTTTTTAAAACATGCAGTGCCTGACTATTTAGTCAGGGGCACTGACCTCTTTTCCCTTAGACTGTCAAATTAAAAAATGACATCAGCTAACACAACACTAGCCATTCGGTATTAATGCTCTGTCTTGAACCATAAATATATAGGTCATATAATAGAGTTAACATCTTATTGATCATATCGCATAATAAGGTTGTGTCTGATTTATTAATTGTTGGTACCAGAAATCCTTATATACAAGTGTAAGCGCTTAATTTTTTAAAAAGTCACTCTTGAGCAAAAAGGGTAGATAATTGCTAGTCTTATTTAATTTGTAAATCAACCAAAATTATACTTTGTTTGGGTCAGATCAGCAAAAAATGGTTTTTTTGGTGTTCCACAGAATTTTAGTAATTTGTTTGTGTGTGCTATGAGATGAAAAAGGTTGAAAATTGCTGTTCTAAAGTTTACTTTAGTATGGTTCTTATTTTTGTTTTTTGTGAAGTAATTTTTTGTAAGAATTTAATGCAACTATATGGATGGTTTTTCTCATTAAATATCTTTATAATATAAGTTGGGGGAGCCTAATGAAATTATATTTTGTGTTAATATATAGTTTTAAATTTTATAATTTAATAAATACTTTTGAATGAAAACACACCTTTATTTTCTTCTTATTCTTAGGCTTGAAAAGGAATACACTACAATAAAAACTAAAGAAATGGAAGAGCAAGTTGAAATTAAAGTAAGCATCGCAGGACTTTTAAAAGTCCTGAACAATTATTTGGCAATAGATGTTAGGTTATGTTAATATGTTTGTTACCTACTTATAGCACATTTAGCAATGACGTTTGTATTTATTGATGGATAAATTTATTTGTTGTCCCACTAATTATAGTTAAAATAGATATTTCAAAATCAGAATAATGTGACCAGAGTGTTTTTCATTCTAGTTTAAAAGAGAGTAGTTCTTCTTCCCTTTTTCTAGATGTGTTTGTTGGTCATCAGGAGAAAATACTTCTATGGGAAACATAATTATTCCATTTAAGGATATTTTTTAATGTTGTAGGGAGATAATCTATAGCACCCTGAAATTAACAGCAGTATAGTCTAAGGTGGACCAAATAGAGCAAATGATTGCACTAGAACTAATTATGGCTACTTTAGAGACGTAGGAAGCTTTGGCTATCAATTTTTTCATCACTGAGCAAAGGTTATACTTTTGAACCTATTCTCCAGAGAAACAGGTAGATTTTCAATTTAAAGGACATAAGTTTCAATATGTACCTTAAAATTTTTATTTGTATCCCCTGTGAGGCCAGTAATTCTTGAGGATCTTTGGTGTTGTTTGAGATGGGAGTTAAGGAACTTTTTTTGGCCTTTGTGCTGATATTTTAGGACGGGGATGATGAGTAGGAAGAGGAGTTAGTGAAGGAACTTAGTGACTGGCTGATCTAATTTCTTATCTCTTAATCCTCCTCCAAAAGAAACTAAAATTAAACAACATTTCTTGAGCTACTCAACTTTTTTTTTAAACTCTGTGTTTGAATGTGTCTAATTTTTTTTATTTGGACCTGGCAAGGCAGGCATTAGATGACCACCTTATTCACAATTAATTAGCCATGTATTAATTCAGCCTTGCTATAAAATACTACTACATTACTCATACCCTACACGTCCTTTTTGCAGGGTAATGGGTTCTAATAGTATTCCTTCTTGCCATGATCCTCCTCAAAAGCCTCCTGGGAGACAATGTCCCCTATTTTTTTTAATCCTCACTCAAGCATATTTTTTCATTGATTTTCATATAGATTAGGAGAGGGGGAGAGAGAGCAAGAGAAACATCGATGTAAGAAAGACACATCAACTGGTTGCCTCCTGCATGACCCCAACCAGGGTTAGGGATTGCAACTGAGGTACATGCCCTTGACCAGAATCGAACTCGAGACTCCCTGGTCCACGGGCTGATGCTCTAACCATTGAGCAAAACCAGCCAGGGCTCTCCCTTATTTTTCTGTGTGACCTCTCTTATCAACTCTGTCTCCCTTCTCTAGACATTTTGTTTCCATTTTGTCCTCTATTCTTATCAGTTGGAAATAGATACTTTTACATTTTTCAGACATAGACAGACAGACAGAAAGAAAGAAAATGATCCCTGTGGATGTTTATCCCTTTTTTTAAAATTCTGTCACCCAACTGCTGCTCTACCATTTGCTTTTCTTTTAGGTACCATGAGTAAGGGTAAAATTAATCATACCCTCCACTTCAACCTACTGAAAGTAAAAAGTACGTCATCCTGATGAGTGGGGAGAGAGTATGGGTTATCGCATACCAGGAATATTCGGAACTGCAAATCAAGAATCTGAGGATGGGAAGCCATCCTGTTCATTTCACCATGCTATGTTATTGCAGGGGGGGTGGTAAATCTCAGGTCTATGAACAATTCTTGCTTTTGGAGAAGTTTTTTTTCCCTAAGATTAAGTCACACACACACACACACACACACACACACACACACACATATATAATAACAACAAATGACCTTTTCAAAAAGGTCTTTAGCAGATTTTAGCCTATATTTGCAGTTTTTCTCAAATTTTATTTATTTTTTGGTGGGGGAAGTTATAGGTCAGTTACTTCACTGAATACTTTTGCTTGCCAGTTCCATGTGTCTTAGGCAAAAGCAGATGACATAACGTTATTTATAGAGAAGAATCTGGGGGAAAAAAGTTAAAATACTAGCGGAACGTATCAGGTAAATAAAGTATGCTGATCTCAAAGGTAGTCTGTTCCTTTTATAAAATCTTATTTACACATAGTTCTTTCTTACTCTTGTACCATACCCATCTCTTTTTCACTCCTCCTGCTCCCTGCCCCTGCCAAAAGACAGAGCCAAACAATTTTTGTGTGACGGCACTTTTTTTCACTTTAAGATTGGGTATGTCTGATTTTGACTTGATCCTGGCAACTCATCTCAGTCATAAGCAGATGACCATCTTGTTTATAGGATCAATCATGATCAAATGATCACCTTATTTACAATTAATTCACCATGTGTTATTTGAGCCTTTCTCTAAAATGGGCTATGCCACTTTCTTACTCTTTTCCCTTCTCTTTGAGGTCCCTTTTATGAGGGAATGAATTCTGTTAAAAAGTACTTTCTTACCTTGGTTCTCTTAAAAAGCCTTCAGGGATATAGTCTTATACTATTCTTTATACAAGCACATAGTATGATCATCAAATTATTTGATGTTTTAATATGGAAATAAAAAAATTACCCTTTGATATTGTGCAGTATTTTAAAGGATTCCACTATTTTTACTTTAATTAAAATTCTGAGACCTTTGGGTCGGTGACCTTTTATTCTAAGAATTTTATCTTTCAATCAACTCCCTGATCAAGATGGGACTTTTGTCCAGCCTGTGTGGTTGAGCGTCAACCCATGCACCAAGAGGTCACCTGTTTGATTCCCGATCAGGACACATGCCCAGGTTGTGGGCCCAATCCCCAGTGGGGGGTATGCAGGAGGCAGCCAGTCGATGTTCTCTTTCATCAATGTGTCTATCTCTCCCTCCCTCTCACTTCTCCTTCCTCTCAAATCAATAAAGGAAAAAAAAAAAAAGACAAAAATAAAGAGGTGACTTCTAAGTATTTTTCACCCCTTTTCTTTAAAAATATGTTTTTATTGATTTTTTAGAGAGTGAGATAAAAACATGGATGTGAGAGAGAAACATCAGCTGCCTCCTGCACACGCCCCTCTGGGAATCAAGCCCACAGCCCAGGAACATGTCCTGACCAGAAATCGAACTGGGACCTTTCAATCCATGGAAGGATGCTCAATCCACTGAGCCATACCAGCCGGGCTGTTCAGACAACTTTTAAGTTGAGACCAGAATTCCCTCTTAAAGTATACAGGCACTAATGTTCAATGCCAGTAGCACAGGCATGAAAAGAAAAACATTTCTAAAGATATGAAACTGCCAAATAGTCGTCATTTATACTCACTAACTTGTATTAATTTTTTTGTTTTGAATCTTTTTTTTTAATTTTATTTTTAATTTTATTTTTGTTACAGGCGTTTCTCCTTTTTTACCCCATTGACACCCTCCTGCCCATCCCCTCCGCTCCGTCTCCAGCTTTATTGTCCATGTCCATTTGCTGTGCATACATGCATATAAGTTCTGTGGTTTATCTCTTCCCTCCCCTCACCACCTCCTCTTCTGAGGGTTGTTGGTCTGTACCCTACTTCCATGTTTCTGGGTCTACCCTATTCCTCAGATTATTATGTTCAACAAATTACTTTTTTTTTATCCTCACCTGAGGACATTTTTCCATTTTTTGTTCAGATGGAGTGGGAGGGGAAAAGAGAGAGAGAGAAACATCGACGTGAAAGGGACACATCAAGTGGCTGCCACCCACACAACCCAACCAGGGCCGGGGACAAACTGCAACCGAGGTACATGCTTTAGCAGGAACCAAACCCAGGTTTCTCTGGACCGCAGGCCAATGCTCTAACCGCTGAGCAAAACTGGCCAGGGCCTCACCCCTTTTTCGAAAGTGTTGTTTTTGTTTTTTTAGAGAGAGGAAAGGAGAGAGAAATAGAAACATCGATGTGAGATAGAAACATCGAATCAGGCACAGGAATTGAATCTGGACCTCCCGGGCCATGGGACAACGCTCTATCCACTGAGCCACACCAGCCGGGCTATTTGTTATTTTTATAATAATACTTTCATATGGAGGATCTTACATTTTACTGTGTGAAATATTTTACTAATAGAAACATGTTTAGCAGTATCTTCTTCCAATCTATTGATGTTCCACCTGAGAGGAGGAGGTAAAAAATGTTAAAATTCGCCCTGACCTGTTTGGCTCAGCGGTTGAGTGTCGGCCTGTGGACCAGAGAGGTCCAGGTTCGGTTCCTGGTAGGGGCATGTACTACAAAAAAATAAAATAAAAAAAGTTAAAATTCTAGCTGATATTAGGTTAACCCACAAATCTTTAAAAAAGAAAAACCTTTGACCCCCCCTACTTTATTTAAGACAGACATATAAACTGATAATCTAATATCTGTATTTAAATTTGTTCTTTGGGGCATAGAGGTCTGCAAATGGGAGATAATAGAAATTCTGAGTTACTTTTAGTCAGAAATTAACCTTTTTTTAAAAATTTCAAAAATTAAGAAATATTTCAGATATGTTGAAAACCAGAGAATAATATATAAAAACACTGTGTATCCACTGCCTGCCATAAAAAAAAAAGAAATCATGACACATATCTAAATCATTCAGGAATTATTTTTAGCAATGTGAGGTATTAGTATTGACAATCACATTTATTCAATAGTTAATATATGACAGGTCATCTACATGCATTATCTCCATTCATTCTTAGAATAATATTTTCAAATGTTTCTTACCCCATCTTTTCATGAAGAAATTAAGCATCAGAGAGCTCAAATAATATGCTAATGGTCACATTGCTAGAAAATGGTGCAAATCAAGGACTTGAACTCTGATTTGTATTATTTTAAAGCCCATATATGTTCTTCAGTGTATATACTGTCTGCTTTTCAAGAGAGACTTTAATGTATTGGTAATTTAAGAAGGACTTGGATGCCCATTTTACTGTGGCGTTACAAAATTTTCATTAAAAAACTAGTGGCTGGCCCTGGCTGGTTTGGCTCAGCGGTTAGAGCATTTACCTGCGGTCCTAAGAGACCCGGGTTCGGTTCCCGCTAAGGGC